TCCATCACAGGGACACCTGGACAGGTCTCAGTCCATCACAGGGACACCTAGGGACAGTTTAGAGTCACCAGTCAGTCTAACATGCATGTTTTTAGTCTGTGGGAGGAACCCCACGCAGCACGCAGAGAACATGCAGACTCCACACAGAAAGATCCCCGGACTGGGATTTGAACCAGGGTAACCTGCTCGCTGAGAGGCAGCAGCTCTACCCACCGTGCCACCGTGCCACCCACATCTGATACAGTTCATCACAATATTCTACTGCAGGACTTGAATATGATGTTGGGATTACAGGAACGGCTCTGAACTGGTTTACAGTAGTCCCTCGATACTTCACGGTTCGTTTATCGCAGACTCGCTCTATCGCAGTTTTTCAAAATAAGAGCGGACACGACACACAATTGGCTGACTGATGGGTGAGCCGTACGATCGGCATGAAATTTTTATTTAAAAAAATATATTTTAAATTATTTAGCAGCTGTGCAGCCCACACTGTCCCTCCCTACTTCACAGCTTTTCACTTATTGTGGGTCTTCAGAGTATGGACCCCCGTGATAAACGAGGGACTACTGTAAATCACATCTATCTGATAGAGTCCAGGTTGTAAATGTAAATAATGAATCTTCTTCATACACCAAAGTTAGTCATGGAGGTCCTCAGGGCTCAGTGCTTGGGCCAATACTCTTTACTTTATATATGCTTCCATTAGGTAAAGTTATTAAACAGCATGGGATAAATGTTCATTGTTATGCTGATGATACTCAGTTATATTTGTCCATTAAAACCCAATGAATCCAATCAGCTACTTAGACTACAAGCATGTCTTAAAGACATAAAAACCTGGATGACCCTTAATTTTCTCCTGTTGAACAGACAAGACTGAGGTTTTGGTTTTTGGACCTGAGCACCTTAGGAATGAATGTTTCAGTCTTTCTCCCTCCTTAGATGCATTAATCTGTCCTCCAGCTCTAATGTTAAAAATCTTGGTGTTATTTTTGATCAGGACATGTCTTTTATCCCCCACATTAAAAACGTTACTAGAACCTCCTTCTTCCACCTGCGTAATATCACTAACATTAGAAACATCTGATCTAAAGATGATGCAGAAGAACTGGTCCATGCATTTGTCACGTCTAGACTGGACTATTGCAATGGTTTATTATCTGGGTGTCCAAATACTTCTTTAAAACGTCTTCAGTTGATCCAAAATGCTGCTGCCAGAGTCTTAACTGGAGTTACTGGGAGAGATCATCTCTCTCCAGTTTTAGCTTCTCTCCATTGGCTCCCTGTCAAATCCAGAATAGAATTCAAAATCTTACTTCTAACCTACAAAGCTCTCAACAACCTAGCTCCATCTTATATTACAGATCTTATTGTTCCATATTTTACTAACAGAGCTCTTCACTCTCAGACTGCAGGTTTACTTGTGGTTCCTAGAGTTTCCAGCAGCAGAATGGGAGGAAGATCTTCCAGTTCTCAGGCTCCTCTCTTGGTTCCTGATTATTCTTTGGTTTTTTTACTCGGAGTCTTTTTTTGTTTGTGGAACTTGAACTTGTAGTCGAGTTCTAGAAGATCAGCTGACTGTTGACATGTTTTTGATGGACCAGAACTTTGGGTCAGAACCTGTGTTGTGGGTTCTGATGGTTCTGTGAGTCCGGTCGTTTGTTCTCGCAGCAGTTTGAACAGGCTGCTCTTCAGCTGATGGTTTAATGGACGGTTGGTGGACTGCGGCTTGTTTCGGCTGTCAGGGACGAGTCAGCTGCTGAACACACGCAGCCGCAGGGAGAGACAGAATCCAAACTCCTGCTGAGGCCCGGCTCCGAGTCCACAGAACCGTCAGGGGACAGGCGTCCTGATGCTCAGATTCATTAACGGTTTGAAAACAATCGTGTTTCAGTCTGAGCCAGGCGGCGTGAAGAACAGCCGAACCCTCGGGCTGGAAGCAGCCGAAGGTTCTGATGATTGACAGCAGCAGGTGACGAGACGGTTTTAAACCAGCGCTGAACCACCTGACGGGACAGGGTCCGGACTTCTGTTTGGGTCTGAAGGCCTGCAGTGTTGCAGCTGCAAGGAATTCTGGGAAAGGAGCGTCTTCTCTCAGTGTTTCCTGAAGGAGAAGTCACAAAGGTTCTGATCCGGTTTCTTTCCTGGAAACCTTCTGAGAACAACACCGGCTCATCTGGACCATGTTCTGTGGTTCTGAGACCGTTTCCTGAACTGGACCCGGCTCTGCTTGGACCCTTCAGTTTCCATGGTAGCAGCAGTTCCCTTCAGAGGTTCTGCCGGTGGTTCTGACGGGCCGAGGTCTGCTGACTGTCACACTGTTCAGACAACAACGGGTCCGTTTGAGCCAGACCCCCCCCCCCCCCCCCCCGGATCAGCTGCTGAACACATGCGGGCTCCGACAGCCAGTCAGGCTCCGGTGTTGGTTCTGAAGGTTCTGATGGTTCTGAAGGTTCTGATGTCCTGCAGACAAACAGCTTCTGGGACGTTGGACAAAATGTTTAAAGACACAAGTTGAATCTTTACTCAGAGTCCAGGACTCCACAGAGTCCAGGTTCAGACCTCTTCCTGGTTCAGGTTTCAGAACTTGACATCCTGATGCCTGGAGGCTCAGACAAGTCCAGGTTGAAGGTTCTGGTCCACTTCGTCTCCTTCAAATCCTTCAAAATGAGTCCAACTGAGATTCATTCAGTGCAAACTCCTTAAACCAGAACCAGGTCCACCTAGATCTGAACCAGGATCTTCAGGTTTCAGGTTTCAGCAGGCTGCTCTCTGACCTTTGACCTTCAAACCCCCCCCCCCCACACACACACACACACACACACACAGTGATGTCACTGGGCTGCTCGGAGCTTGGCACTGATAGGAACCCTCTGCTCCAGACCGGGTTCAGTTCCAGACCTGGTTCAGTTCCAGACCTGGTTCTGCTCCAGACCTGGTTCTGCTCCAGACCTGGTTCTGCTCCAGACCTGGTTCATTTCTAGACCTGGTTCTGCTCCAGACCTGGTTCAGTTCCAGATCGGGTTCAGTTCCAGACCTGGTTCAGTTCCAGACCTGGTTCTGCTCCAGACCTTGTTCTGCTCCAGACCTGGTTCAGTTCCAGATCGGGTTCAGTTCCAGACCTGGTTAATTTCTAGACGTGGCTCAGTTCCAGACCTGGTTCTGCTCCAGACCTGGTTCAGTTCCAGATCGGGTTCAGTTCCAGACCTGGTTCAGTTCCAGACCTGGTTCTGCTCCAGACCTGGTTCTGCTCCAGACCTGGTTCAGTTCCAGATCGGGTTCAGTTCCAGACCTGGTTAATTTCTAGACCTGGTTCAGTTCCAGACCTGGTTCTGCTCCAGACCTGGTCTAGCTTCATCCCTGATGAGAAGGTCTACAGTCTGAACCTTAATCCTGCTCCTCTAACCCACAGAAACCATCAGAACCACAAGTTCTGCTGCAGAACCTCCAAACCTGAGAACTGTCCTCAGACGTCCCAGTCCTGGTTGGACCTGCAGCTGAGACTTCAGAACCAGCAGGTCACAGGAAGTTGGACTTTCCATGACATTAGTTCTCATCTACTCACAGACTCATGTTCGTGCTGCTGTTGGACGTAACTGGGACCCTGAGTTTCGTTCCACCTCATGTCCCACATGAGAATCAGACTTTCCTGTCATTACACACCAGCACAAGATGCAGCATGAGGGTGGACGGTGCCTGAGGCTGCAGCCTCATGAGAGGCGCTGCCTTTTTTCATTGCATGAGAGAATATACTTACAGGTAAGATGCACGTGTAAGATGCACGTGTAAGATGCACGTGTAAGATGCACGTGTAAGATGCACGTGTAAGATGCACGTGTAAGATGCACGTGTAAGATGCACGTGTAAGATGCACGTGTAAGATGCACGTGTAAGATGCACGTGTAAGATGCACGTGTAAGATGCACGTGTAAGATGCACGTGTAAGATGCACGTGTAAGATGCACGTGTAAGATGCACGTGTAAGATGCACGTGTAAGATGCACGTGTAAGATGCACGTGTAAGATGCACG